CAATGCATCTATTGTAATAGGACGGGACACATGCAGGAAAATTGTTATTCCTTGCATGCTTTTCCTTATAAGATTGCCCATTCATCTAGATCAGAGATCCAGATATGAAGATTTATGATGAGGAGTTTTTGAAGTTCAAATCTGGAAAGTTTAACAGTCAGGGTCAATCCTCTTCAATGCCTATTTCTGTTAAAAAAGTAGGCTGAGATCAAGAGGGGGGTGAATTGATCTTTGAAAGATTTTTGCAAATTACAAATTATCTATTTCAAAGATAAAGAGTTCTGACCAATTCTTGAATCAAACTAGACAAACAATTAAAGTAAATGCAGTGGTAGAATTAAAGAGAGAAAGGTTTAGAAAGATATAACCAAGATTTATACTGGTTCACCCAATCCTAGGGCTACGTCCAGTTTCCAGTCAAATTCCAGTTGGGTTCCACTAGATTGAATGTTTTCCAGATTACAATTCCAATCACACACTCAATCTACCACAAGAACCAAAATTCCAGTCCTTGCACCTAAACCTTCACCAAGAACCAACTTCCAGTTCTTGACCAACCCTGTAGCCAAATTCCAGCCACAAAAACCAGTACCCACACTTCCAGGCACCCACAATACAGTAAAGAAAAGTAAAGAAACAAAGAGAAGAAACTAGAACACTCAAACCAGGTTTATGCAGCTCTGCAGAATGAGTTTCTTCACAAAAAGAATGCAAAATTTGCCTCAAGAAAGAGCTACGTAAAACTTCACAAAACTTGCGCGAATCTCTCTTGAAAGTAGCACTTATGATTGCTTGATTGATTGCTCAAAGGTGTGTTTTAAAAGACTCAAGCAATCCTGTTTATATAGAAGATTGTTGAAACTGCTGGTTTAATTAATCTGTTAAAACAATCTTTTAATATGTTAAAAGTCTTGAATTAATCTGTTAAAACTTCTTTTAATCTGTTAAAATGTTCTTGATCATTTTCTAGATTTGTTTTAACTGGTACAACAACTTTTATATCAATTAAAACACTTTGTAAAAAATCCTTCAAATTGTTTTAAGCGATTGTTTCGTCTTTTAATCGATTAAAATACTGCCAAAAGTTTTCATAAAACTTTCAAAGTGATTTTAGCTGATAACAATCTGTTTTAATCGATTAAAATACTTTGGAAAAAATCCTCTTAGTTATTTTAATCGATTGAATCGTATTTTAATCGATTATAATTCTACCAAAAGATTTGATAAAATTTTTCAAGTTATTTTAACTGATACCATACTTGTTTTAACTGATAACATACTTTTGCATAATCGTCTGGATCACCCAAGTCTAAGTTGAAAGTGATGACTCCTAATCTTCAACATCTTGGGATTTTAGAGTGTGAATCTTGTCAATTAGGAAAACATGTTAGGTCTATTTTTCCTAAACAGTCTAAAACTCGATGTAATTTTCCTTTTTCAAATATTCATTCTAATGTTTGGGGATCAAGTCGTGTTTCCTCTTTTGGCTTTCGGTATTTTGTGACCTTTATTGATGAATTTTCTAGATGTACTTGGGTTTATTTGATGAAAGACATATCTGAACTTTTGTCCATTTTTGTGTTCTTTTTCAATGAAATTAAACATCAATTTAGGAAAATAATTAAAATTCTCATAAGTGATAATGCCAAAGAATATTTCTCTGCCTCCTTTTCTTCTTTCTTATCTTTCCAAGAAATTTTACATCAACTTGTCCTCCACACCCCACAACAAAATGGCATTGCAGAAAGGAAAAATAGACACCTTATTGAGACTGCACACTCTTTAATGTTGAATGCTAATGTCCTTGTTCATCATTGGGGAGATGTAGTTCTTACTGCTTGTTCTTTGATTAATCGGATGCCATCTTCCTCTTAAAATCAAATTCCACATTCTCTTATCTTCCCAGATGATCTTTTTTTCCATGTATCTCCTCGTGTATTTGGTTGTACTTTTTTTGTTCACAATGTATCTCCAAGTCTTGATAAACTAAGTGCTAAGGCCGTTAAATGAATTTTTTTAGGGTACTCTCGCCTTCAGAAAGGGTATAAATGTTATTCTCCATTTTCCAAAAGGTATTATATGTCTGCTGATGTCACCTTCTTTGAGGAAACACCCTTCTTTTCTTCCCTAATGGAAGATGGTTCATCAATTCAACAAGGTCTGCCTATACCTGTTTCTTTCTCAATTCAATCTAGAGGTCCTAATGATTCACCTCCTACACCTTTATCTGTTCCTTCAGATAATTGTGATTCAGATCCATCTCCATTAGTTTCTCATACCATGGATCCTTCAACCTTACCTCTCACTTCTGATTCTGGTTTGCCTATTACACTTAGAAAAGGTACTTGTTCCACTCGCAATCTCTTTCCTATTTATAATTTTTTAAGTTACCATCATCTGTCTCCTTCATATTCTTTTTTTGTTGTCTCTTTGGATGATACGTCTATTCCTAATAATGTTCATGAGGCACTTGATCACCCTGAATGGTGACAATCCATGATTAATAAAATGCAGGCACTTGAGCACAATGACACTTGGGAGCTTGTTCCTCTTTCTCCTGGCAAAAAGACTGTGGGCTATAGGTGAGTCTATGCAGTTAAAGTTGATAATAGTAGTAAAATGGATCGTCTGAAAGTTCGTTAAGTAGCTAAAGGTTACACTCAAATTTATGGCCTCGACTACCATGATACCTTTTCTCCAGTAGCTAAAATTTCCACCATTCGTATTTTTTTTACTATGGTTACAATTCGTCATTGACTCCTTCACCAACTGGACATTAAAAATGCTTTTCTTCATGGTGACCTTGAAGAAGAGTTTTATATGGAGCAACCTCTTGACTTTGTTGCTAAAGGGGAGTCTGGTTTAGTGTGCAAGTTACACCGATCTCTTTATGGCTTGAAGCAGTCACCTCGAGCTTGGTTTGGAAAATTCAGCCATGTTATGTAGTTGTTTGACATGAAAAGGAGTGAACAGACCACTCAGAGTTTTATTGTAATTCCTCTTCAAGTTAGTGTGTGTATCTTATGGTTTATGTTGATGATATTGTTATTATAGGCAATGATTATACTAAGATTAGCTAACTGAAGAATCATTTGTTTGCTCACTTCCAAATCAAAGATCTTGGTCAATTGAAATATTTTCTTGGTATTCAAGTGGCCCAGTCAAAGGAAGGTGTGATCATCTCTCAAAGGAAGTATGCTCTTGATATTTTGAAGGAGACTGGTCTAACAAATTGTAACCCCATTGATACCCTAATGGACCCTAACTGGAAAATGATGAAGGATGAAGGAAAAAAGTTGTCAGATCCAGAAAGATATAAGAGGTTGGTTGGTAAACTCATTTATCTTATTATTACCAGACCGGATCTTTCTTATGCAGTTGGAGCAGTTAGCCAATTCATGCAAAATCCTTGTGTTGATCACTGGGATGCCTTGATTCGCATTCTGAGATATATTAAAGGGGCCCCAGGACGAGGGTTGTTATATGAAGATAAAGGTAATACTCAAATTCTTGTTTATTATGATGTAGACTAGGCTGGTTATCTAATTGATAGAAGATCGACTAGTGGGTATTGTATTTTTATTAGAGAAAATTTGATTTCTTGGAAGAGTAAAAAGTAAAGTGTTGTTGCTCGATCTGCCGCAGAAGCTGAGTATAGATCTATGACACTTGCTACATGTAAACTTGTGTGGATCAAACAACTTCAAGATTTAAAATTTTGTGATATTGGGCAAATGAAGTTATTGTGTGATAATGAGGGAACTCTCCATATTGCCTCCAACCTAGTCTTTCACGAAAGAACAAAACATATTGAGATTGATTGTCATTTTGTTATAGAGAAGCTATTGTCTAAGGTACTTGTAACTGAATTTGTAAGCTCCAATGAATAATTGACAGATATTTTAACTAAATCCTTAAGAGGATCTAGGATTCAATTCATTTGTTCCAAGCTTGGTACATATAATTTGTATGCTCCAGCTTGAGGGGGAGTGTTGAGATTTGTTGTTTTTGTATCTTTTAGTATTCTTTTTCAATGTTCCTTAGACTAGGGTTAAATGTTTGGGTTGAGGCTCATATCCTCTCTATTGAACCCCTTCTTTTCTATAAATACAATGTATCAGTGCCTTTGGATATTGTATCAAACCCTAAATAAGTTTTCTCAAGTGTCTCTTTGATGCAACTCAAAGAGTGATGTCACTTGACCAATCAAGACATGATGACTCACATCGCAAAAGCTAGGGCTGCTATGGAAAAATTTAAAAGGTTTCTTGTTGCAAATACCTTAGAGGAGTTAAACAGCATACTCGATAAGCTATATATGGTTCTAATTTTGAGAAGTATGCATTCTGACTTTGATTACGTGCGTGATCAAATCCTAGCTGCCATGGTCATGTTCCACCAATGGATAATCTTGTCACTAGTATGATTCGGGTTCCTAATCTCATGGTTGATGAGAATCAGGTGGAGGCTATTGAAACTTCTGCTATGGTTGCACTTCGGGGTCGAGGGAGAGGACGCAACAATCGAGGTGGACGTGATAGTTCGAAAGTTCGTCCTCATTATACCTATTGTAAGAGGATGGGACACACGCAGGAAAACTATTATTCCTTGCATGGATTTCCTGATAAGATTGCCCATGCATCTAAATCGGAGAAGCCAAATATGAAGATTTCTGATGAGGAGTTTCACGATTTTTTGAAGTTCAAATCTGGAAAGTTTAATAGTCAGGGTCAATCCTCTTTAATGCCAACTGTTTCAACTGCATGCATTTTTCAATCTGTGGAAGGTTAGAACCCATGGATTCTTGATTCAGGTGCCTCTGATCATATATCTGGTAATAGTTAATAAAAGATGAAACAACAAAAATTAGGTAGAAAGCTTAGGTTAGTACAAAAGTAATCATCACAAGAAAGCAAAAGAAAGAAGATGGTTTCTCTCTCATAATTTGGTGTTGGGTTGGTTCTCTCACTTTGCTCCAAGAGTGAGGATACTTCCCTTAAATGGTGCTCTTATAGAGATCTCAAGTGAAGCATGTACCAATCCTCAAACTTGTTCATGAACTTCAAAGAAAAGGAAAACTACTGGACAAGATTTTAAAAATGATAAAGGAAAAACTAAAATGGGACAAAAGAATTGGATTGAAAGGGCTAAAACCATGACAAAGATTATAAAGCAAAGAAGAGCTATATAGAAACTCTATAGAATTTTGCTTGTACGCAACTTCAACAATGTGTCAAAAGCTACCTAAAAAGCTACTAAGATATTACGCAGTTATCCAATTCGAGGCACATGCATGAAATGCATGAACAATATCACCTTAATATTGTGTTCAAACTGGCAATCTTTCAAAAATCTCAAACCCATTGAATTTACTAACTTTTGGTTCTTAATGTTGTGCAATTTTATTTTTCTTGGTTGATTTTAACTTTTGGCTCAGAATTCAAATAGATTTTTGCCCGAGGGTCACTAGGCCAACAACTTTGTAATGCAAGATTAATGGGGATATTTTGTTCCAAATATTTAATTCAATTAACTTAAGATTCCAAAACTAGATATTGCAACACTTGCACCTCTAGACTTGGGCAATCAATAACAAGTTCACCTCACAAGTGAAGAACAATTATACAACCAAGTAATTTGACGCTTAAGAAGAAAACCAACAAAAAGAATGACTAAAATCTAGAAAAGGGGAAAAGAAACTCAAGATGTAAGTCTTTGGGCAAAGAAAATGTTCCAAAGTGAAAAGGTTTTGGTTTAAATCTCTTTGATTAAAAGTCACCAACAAGGTTACAAAGCCTCAATAAGTCTTTTCCCACTAGGTGAGATTTGCTACATGGATCACATACCACATTGATTAAAGAACAAAGCCATATTCCATCAATAGTACGTGAGTATGTTTGGTGTATCAAATTATAATTTTTTATTAGAATGTTGGGTTGACTTTGTGATGATGCCAACTACCAAATATTAAATCCTTAACGTAACTCTTTTTACTTTATATTCATTCATTTTCAGTTATGGGCTAGGTTAACCTATGCATTTGATGGGTTCTCACCTTTTATCCTTCAATTTTTTTTTTTCCATTTTTTTTAAATTGAATGGGATAATTATCTATAATCTTGTATGATTTTGCTTGTTATTTTGATCACCACAAAGTCTTTCATCATCAATTTCTCAGAATATTACTTTAAATACAACGTTCAACTTAATTGTGGTTTTTGTATCTAGAACAGCAATCAGTGCTGCAAACTTTAACCATCTTAATTCAAAACCATGTCCCTTTCTTTATCATAAACAGATAAAAGCATACTTCCACTTGCTATCATTGCTTACATACATATATGATATATATGCCATGATATCAAACTTGAATCCTTTTTATATTCCTTTGGCCTAGAATTCTCCTAATTACTTTACCAAATGGAAAAGAAACTGAAACTTCAGCCCTTGTTAAAACCCTATAACCTGTAATCACTTGCTAAACCTCAGGGGCTTATAGATGGAATCTATGCTGTCCTTAATAAAAGAAAGGAAGATGATGAGTTCCACACAGAGTTGACACGTACCGACATCATCAAGTGTATACAATCAGAGAAAGTAAGGTTTCGAGGGGTTAATCTTTCTGGCCTTGACCTCTCTAAACTGGTAAAGTCTTGGACGGAAAATGGTTTTAGCAATATCTTAGTTTACTTATAAGGCAGTCATGAAATTTCTTGATAGAGTATGTCTGGTAACTTGATCCCACGGTCTTGATCATTTTAATTGTGGATTTTCAGGATTTATCGTATGTGGATTTCAGCTATGCTTGTCTTAAAAATGTGTTCTTTTCACGAGCAAACCTTCTATGCGCAAAGTTTCGAGTAAGGATGGCTCTGTTCAGGCTCTCAGTACTTGGGATATTAATTTGGAAAGTTGATCCAGCCTATTTGGAGATGCAAATTAGACCTAAATAACTGAATCTTGGGCTAAATTTAGTCAATCTGTTCTTGGGTTTAGGCTTTTGTTTGCTTGAGAACAATAAAATCCCACTTATTGATCAGACCTATAATATCCATCGTTAACTTTATATACATACATACATATATATATATATATATATATATATATATATATATATATATATATATATATATATATATATATATATATATATATATATATATATATATATAAATGATCTATAATATAGCATTGGGCAGAAAAATTGTTGCTATTATAATCAAAATATTTTTCTTGACAACCTTTGAAAACATGTGGCACTACATGCTTTTCTTGTTTTAGTTAGAAATATGTATATTTGGCTATTATTAACCACTTCAGCATATGCATTTAATATAACTTTATAATTTATAATTTATCCTGGACCTATTTAATTTTATAGGATGTTGACGCTGAGGCCTCCATCTTTCACAATGCAACTTTGCGTGAGTAAGTCACTCAGAAAACTCTACTATTCAATTGCACACATACTTGCAGGCCTGTAAATTTTTACTTTTGCCTAGGGAAGATGTGAATTTACTGGGGCAAACCTTCGTGGTGCTTTATTGGCTGGTGCATGCCTTCAGAGTGCAAATCTACAAGGTCTAGAAGTATTTTATGTTTATATGATGCCTTTTAGTTTTTATCAATTCTCATGGACAACAACCAAGCCTTGTTGCACAATGTTGAGTTGGCTACATTGATGAATCCATGGGGCTACTATATCAAAGCATCACAATTTCAGTAGAACCATATTATTCCCGAGCATTCATTAATCACTGACATGTCATAAAGGATCACTAGTCTTACAGATATCTTGGAGTTTCCCTTCATACTTTTTAAGCACTTTGACATGACATATTTTAATACTTTTTTTCCTATTCATCAACCAAACCTAAATCTTATACGTACTGATCCAAGATACCTTCACACTGAAATTTGTAGTAATATTTATTCCCAATTTTTAAGTCTAAAATATTACTTTTGTGTCAAAAATATTGCTAAATTTCTTATAGAATTTGCATTCTTTATACTTCATTCTACCCATCAGAAGCCCTTTGATTCCACTTATACTCTCCACAACTTAAGTTTAGAATTTATTGCTCATCCCATGAAGACATAATCTGTGGAAAATCCGATATCTTCAGTACAGAGAAACATTGATACAGAGAATTTATATATGCAAGGTGGCTTACTGACCTGCTGTCAGTTAACAAACGGACGATCAGCAATAGCTGTTCTGGACTTGCGCTGCTAGCTTAGAGACCACAATCTATTGGTGTTGTTGGAGATTGCACATTAACTAGAGATATGACCTACTTATAATATATAATTGAGGTGCAAACCTCATCTTACAAGCCAGTTTTATAGGATTGAGCTAGGCACCTCTCAATTTTTAATAGTATGGTATTAGAGCCTATCCTAGCAAGATTTGTTGATTTATTACTCCACCTGTTATCGGGTTGCTGTCAGCCTACCCCTTAATATTCAGTTCTATGCTCTTGAGATGTTCATTCTTCGGTATGAGAGGGTGTGTTGGAGACCTCATATCGACTAGAGATATGACCAACTTATAATATATAATTGAGATACAATCCTCATCTTACAAGCTGATCTTTTGAGATTGAATTAGACACCTCTGTATTTCTAATAGTTATTCTAATAGAGGACATATAACTTCATTGGCAAAATTGGATGGTTGACACAACAAATGTGCCTTATTAATTTTGTAAGAATGACACAATGGACTTCTTGCTCAAATAGATTCTAATTACATTCACATCTTGATACTACATGTCAATATTAAAATCTTAGCTTTTGTAAATTTGGAACTCCATGACCATATATAAAAACAAAGTAACTTAAAATTTGAATATTATAACATAAAGCACTATAAAACACATATGGAAGCATAAGTATCTCACCAAGAACGGTTGTTTTCCTTGATTCTTTAACAAAGTCATCACCAAATAATCCACTAACACTTTTATAAACGGGCAACTAAGTTAAATTTTTTGTTGCACATCGTTACTTGGCACAAACCTCTTTGTAATCATACAACCCATTAGTTATCTCCAAATCATATTCAATTTCTGAGTTGAAATAATAGACGATGAAGTTGACAAGTCCATTTATTATCAATAATTATAAATACATCCTTGTATTTAATTTCATCGTTATTGAAAGATTTCATTATGGTTTCATTGACTTTCTCTATTGCTTCATAAATATATTTCATATCTATTTTTCTTTTCCCATTTACAAGAAGTACATGAAGAAAAGGAGCCATGACTTTGAGAGTGAAAATCACATGATTTCAAATGAAGGAATGACAACAACTTTAGATGCTTTCCTCCCCTTAGCTTCCTTGGGCAATTTGTTCTTGCTCCATTTATCAAAAGTGAACATCTTTATGAGATTTCCTTCTATTGATGAAGTCTTTCAAATAATAGATAATAGGTAGCAAATGTTGTTTGTTTGTGAATTGTTTCAACGAACTCAAGGTACTAGAATGACAGTAGATATAGCCAATAAGACTAACTCCTATTTGAATTGTCTTTTTTATTATTAAAGGAAGTTTTCCAATGTTTTTAAGTATCAAGTCAAACAATTCAAAGAGGAATTAGTATTGTTGGATTTATCTATTATTATTATAGTACCTTGAGTTTGTTGAGACAACTCACAAACAAGAAGAAATAAAACTTGCAGTTACAAGTTTTGCGACCTCTTATTTATCATTAGAAAGATTTGATCAAGAGAAAGAAAATATCAGAAATTTGTTCACTTATGATGAATGGAGCAAGAACAAATGTTGTTCCTATGCCTTCATTTTGGAATAATGTGATTTTTGTCCATGTACTTCGTCTTGTATATGGGGAAAGAAAAGTAGATATGGAATATATTTATGAAGCAATGAAAAAAAGCCAAGGAACCGACAATAAAATCTTTCCATAACAATGAAACTAAATATAAGGATGCGTTTATGATCATTGATAATATTATTATTCCAACCTAGAAGTTGAATATGATTTGGAGGTAACTAATGATTATATGCGTGCATCAAGAGGTTGGTGTTAAGTTAAGATGTTCAACAAAAAAAAATTTAATCAAGTTTCCCCTTTACAAAAGTGGGAGTAAATTATTTGGTGATGATTTTGCCAAAGAATCAAGGAAGACCACAACTTGTGGTAAGACACTTACACTTCCAAGTGTTTTAAGTTACTTTATTTGTCTTTATGGCTCAATGGTGGAAGAATTATGGTCACAAAACTCCAAATTTATAAAAACTAGCAATAAGATATTAAGCTTGGCATGTAGTTCATCATGTATAAACATAATTGGAGTGTATTTGAGCAAGTGAGTACTAACTGTTGATCGATGGGTGCAACTCGTCTAGTGAGTATATAGCTCGACTAATGGGTGCTACTCGATTTGTGAGTGCAGCTTATGTGATGGCTATAGCTTGTCTAATGAGTAGTCAATAGTGGGTTGTCTAAAAGTTGCAATTAACATTGTCCAGCTTTGTTATTGACGAGAATTTTTAAGGTATTGTATATGTGTATTTTTGATATATAAAATATATCTAATATGGGTATATATTTTAATAATGTACTTTATCAAATATAACAAAATATCAAATATTAATAATATTTCAATCATAACTCGCCTAAATCAAAATAATAATATAATATCTTCTTTTCTTAAAGGATAATAAAATCTCTTAATACCTAATAAAAAATAATAAAGTAATTTTCTCAACATTCCTCCTTACTTTAATATTTGTCTATTTGAATTTGATATTCTTTCTTTCTATTCTTATTTTCTTCCTTCTCTTTTGCTTGTAATTCTTCTCATTCTCTTTCTTTTATGCGATCATCATTTCGAGTCAATTTTGTTGTTACACTATCATGCTTATCCTTTGCAATCACGTGCAAACAAACCTTTTTCTTAGCATGATATTTCTTTTTTCAGAAGGCTTCTACTTTTCTGTATTAACAGTCTTTCATTTAAGACCTAACAACATATTGAAATTTGCTTTCTTGATCTTCCTTTGATCTTTTTTCCACAAAATATAAAGTGAAGAAGATATTTTCTTCTTGTTTTTCTTTGTTTTATTGTATTTTAACACAGGAAAATTAAATTTATGGTAGGTTTAAACTTTTTCAACTTCTGTAGTTTTTCCATCTCAGTCTTAACTTTTAAATTTCACCACCACGTTTTTCAAGTTCTTCGTCCTTTTTTTGCTTGAGAGCTTCGTCTTTGACCTTCAAGATATCTTCGGTCTTTTCCTTCTCAAGGCACATCTGTTGTTGTATTTATTGTTATTTCTCGAAGTTTTGTTTCTTAGCAATGATGTTGGCCTTATTAATTGTTGGGGTTTTCTTTTTCAAAACTTTTTTGTCTTTCTTTGTGGGTACTTCATATCATTCTTGCAAATAATCCCAAATTTTTTTAGGTGACTTTAGGTTATGATTCTGATGAGAATCATTTGTGAAATACTTGCATATAAACATGACTTCACTTTTGCTTTTCTCATTTTTTTTTTCTCTGGTCAAATTTTCAGGTAGCGAATGAATGACATAATCCTCTTTCACATCTTCCCATAAATTTAATCCTTCAAGATAAGGTTGCATTCTCATAGTACATAAGTCATAATTTTTGCCATCAAAAATTTGAATAGCGACTTGTGAAAAATTTTGTTCTCCTTCCATTATTCTCATAAGAACCAAAGCTCTGATAGGAATTTTTAGGGTTTTGTGTATGTGTATTTTTTATACATGAAATATATTTCATATGGGTATATATTTTATTCATGTACTCTACCTATATAGAATAAAAATATGACAAAATATCAAATATTAATAATATCTCAGTTATATCTCGTCTAAATCAAAATAATAACGTAATATCTTCCTCCTTAAAAGATAATAAAATCTCTTAATACCTAATAATAAATATTAAAATAATGTTCCCAACACTTATTTAGTTAGGTTATTTAGAGCTTGTCTAACTAACTTCTAAGTGTTTTTTCTTTTTTTATCACCTCTATATATGGTGACGTACTTGTATTTACAAAATAATCTTGAGATAACGATTTGAACGAGAGTTGAATGAGTTGTGTAACTATTTTTCACGGTTGTACTTTGGCCTTACCATATTTAATGATTACGTGATCTTATCTTCTATTCTTGTGTTCTAAGTTTATACTCATCAATTTTTGTTATTCCATTATCGTTCGTATGTTCTCTCCTTGTTCTATATCACAACACCAACATATGTTACTTTATATTTTTCAGGCTGCAGCATAATTTTTAAAATTTGGATTCTTTTATGTTATTGGTTACACCGAAATGTAATGAGAAGTGAAACATGCATTTGCTTGTATTGATACATCAAACAATATACTTGGAAATGAAGTTAGTTTGTTTGAAACTGTTATTTTGCAGATGCTTGTTTAGTAGATTCTAGCTTCTGCGGTGCAGATCTGCGTAATGCACATCTACAGGTTCACCAACTTTAATTTTTAACTTGTCTAATTAATTATTTGAATTTGTTTATATCATCAATTTTGTTCTTTTTACAAAGCTTTTATATTTTGTGCCAGTATTTGTTATGTGTGGTTCATTTTTTTTTTTTTTTAAATTATAAACATATTCCTTATATGCTTTGGTTTGTCATTTGATATAGAAGAGGAACAACTGCAATAACCTCAATGTCGTCTCTCCAACTCAAGTTCTGTTAAAATCAAGGAACAACAAATAAGTCACTTAAAGTTCTATTTTTCCTCTGTTTGTCCCACTCTGCCTTCAATTATCCCTAGTCAAGGAGTATCTTTATGGCAAGAACCATTACTTTGTTGAATAAAATAATCTATTAACATGAAGTTTTTAACCTTTTTTCTGCGTTAAAATGCTACTAACCTCTTACATTGCAATTTCCATTACTGTTGTATACTGCTATGACATTTTATCATATCTAAAAGGACTTGCTAAATAAGTTTTAAGGGGGAACTGTGAGAGAAGCTGAATCTTAGTATAATTTTATTAGTTTGAAATGAATTGTAGTCCTGATGGTGGTTGATTAGGGATTTAAAGTAACATGGATAGGTCAATATAGGAGATGCTTATCATCACATTTTTGGCTTGTTTGGTTGAATGGAGGGAGAGAATTAATGTGGTATGTGTGGTGAGAAGAGAAAAGAGAAAAATTAATTTTAAAAAAATGGTGAGACTCACTTATTTATGCAAATCTCTTTATCTTTCTCCTTTCTATCATATGTCAAAATCAATTCAATTACACACCTTTCAACAAAAAACTCTATTTATAATTTATCTACTTCTACTCTACCAAACTAAATATTCAATTTTATTTCTTACCTATTTTATTACTCTACTAAGCAAGTGATGTACTAAGGTTAATTATGGTGAAATGGGAGTTTTCATTGTAATATATTTTAACATATGGATTATTTTGATTTGTAGAGATGGGTGCGATCTTGAATCTTGATAAAATCATTCTTTAATGCCGTGTCTTGATTTAAAGTATGTGACTAAAATTAACTGGTGTCTTTTAAGTTAACAGAACGCAGATCTTACCAATGCCAATCTAGAGGGAGCCGTTCTGGAAGGAGCTAACTTGAAGGTAAGATACTATGGACCTATATGAACAAATATTTAGGGTCTTTTAGTGATAGTGGATTTGATATGAGAAAATAGTATCGCCCTATATTAATGATAGAATAGCCTTTAAAGGCCCAAATAGTGACTTTTCAGTTTATATGATTTAGATATTATCTTTTAATATTTAGGTTATATTTTAATTCCTTAATATTAGATGATGGCATCTTTTAGTTGTTGGTGTCTTAGATTATCTAAGTGTATTCATTCTTACCTATTATCACCAACCAAGAATATCAATGTTTATTTTTAGCTTCTCTTTAGCTTTAATAGTAGGTTTTAGGTGTTTTAGGGTAGTGTAGCTTTTTAGCTTCCTGTCATATGGGGCTTTCATTTGCTTACTCAATACATCCCATGGAGGACCACCATCTTTTCTCCCTTATTAACCATGGAAGAGGTTGGTTGGAGTCATTGGATTAGGTAACTTGACAACTCAATATGATCGAACCAACCCAAATAGATTGGGTTGAGTTTTTTTTTCATCGTGTCAAATTCTGTCTAATCTAATATCTTTGAATTGGGGACGAATTTTGTATATGAAAGTTAAGACCCAACCTTACCCGACCAAAATTATTGAATAATATTATTAATAATCATAATAGTAATATAACTATTATTTAAATTATTCAATTATTCTATTAATAAAATATTTTAATAATATTAAATTATTCTAATATTGATAAGGTGGAATGGTCTTTTTGATTCTTCAAAAGTATATACATTTTTTTAGTTAATCCTTGAATTTTAATAATTAAATAACTAATCCCCGAGAGTAGTTTTCATTTTTTCACATTTGTCTATTGTTTCAAACAAGTCCCTGTACATTATTATATATTGGGATGAAATTGTTTAAAACTTTCATACATTTTAAAGGACTAAATTGATCCTTCTACTTATTAAATAATATACTCACAAATATTTTATAATTATAATTTTTAACAAAAAAAAAAGAAGTTATTTTTTATATGGCAACACTCGGGTTATTCTACTATTGCAATACTAAAACTTTACACAAGACTCAACAACTGATTCCCTTAACCTTTCCTATGATACTACTACATACAACTCCATGGAAATTATCAAATGCCTCAATCACCACCATGTAATTCTCTTGGCATTATGTAATCAAACTCACAAGTTGACTTATTAACTAAGCGAGTCATGAGTTAACTCGTATGTACACCTGTTTTTGAGTAAATGCGTGCCAACTCAGGGTAGACTTTCAAACAGGCTAAATCATAAGTTTGAAACCTAGTCTGGGAGTCAGAGTGAAAAAGACAAATTTGAGCATTGTTTCGTCATGTCTCTCTAAACCCTAGTTGAGCGCACGTAGGATTTCTTCTTCACCCATTTCATTTCGTTGTCATTAATGCTCGTATGCATCATCACCAAATATGTCTCCTCCGTGCGAAGCATAAATTTTTATTCGTATTTCTTTTGAATATAGATACCATATTTTTATAGTATTTTACTCCTACAAATCAAGACTAAGTTCTGATTATGCACTATTTTGTATAGCTATACAAATCTATAATTTAGCTAATCAAATATCTTCATCTCAAGACTCCCCCTCAAGTTGGTAAATTGATGTCATACATTCCCAACTTGTCCAATAATCTTCTAAAAATCTGGCTTGTCACTGCTTTGGTAAGAATGTTTGTCAGCTGATCTTCAGATCGAATATTTGACAATTCCAAAATATTTTTATCAAGTTTTTCCTTGATGAAAAATCCATCAACTTCCACATGCTTCATTCGATCATGTTGGACAGGGTTGTGAGTAATGTCGTGCGCAACTTTATTATCACAATACCACTGAATCAGACGTGTATGTGCATACCCTAAATCCTAAAGAAGTAGTTTGAGCCACAAACCTTCCTAAAGTTGAAGAACCATTCCTCTAAGTTCAGCTTCTGCACTGGATCTAGCTACAACTTTCTGCTTCTTGTTTTTCCATGTGACAAGATTACCTCCTACAAATGTAAAGTATCCAGAGGTTGATCTTCTATCATCAAGAGCATCTGCCCAATATGTATTAGTATAAACCATCACATCCTTGTAGTTGGAGTTTTTCTTGAACATAACTCATTTTCCAGGAGCGGTTTTTATGTACCTTAAATTTCGTATAACAGCATTCATATATTTTTCACCTGGATTGTGCATGAACTGCTAATTACACTAAGAGCATAGGCTAAATTTGGCCTGGTGTGTGAGAGATACATCAATCTCCCTACAAGTTTCTGATATCTTTCCTTGTTAGTTAGAGTTTGATCTTCTTCAATGCACAACTTCAATCCCCTTTCAATTGGAAAATTTGTTGGTTTGCATTCTGTCATTCCAGTTTCTTTCAGTAAATCCAATGCATACTTTCGCTATGAGAGAAAAATACCTGACTTTGATCTTGAGACCTCAATTCCAAGAAAGTACTTCAAAGGACCAAGATCCTTCATCTCAAATTCCTTTGCCAAGTACCCTTTCAATGTCTTGTGATCCTCTAGATCGTCTCCCGTAACTGTCATGTCATCAACATAAACAATAAGAATTGTAATCTTTCCTTCCTTTTTCTTTAGAAACAAGATATGATCTTAGTTGCTCTGTTGATATCCAAAAGCAAGCATTGACTTGGTGAATCTACCAAACCATGCTCGTGGTGATTGCTTTAGTCCATACAATGACTTCTTCAACTTACATATCTTCTTGCTATGTGTATCCGAGATCCCATGTCCTTCTGGTAGCTCCATATAAACTTCTTCAAATAATTCCCCGTGTAAGAAGACATTTTTTACGTCAAATTGTTCTAAGGACCAATCAAGGTTTACAGCTAGAGATAACAATACTCGACTGTGCTAATTTTGGCTACGGGAGCAAACGTTTTAATGTAATCGATTCCATATGCTTGTATATAGCCTTTGCCACTAATCTAGCTTTGAATCTCTCAATTGTGTCATCTGCATTAAATTTCACAATATACACTCATCGACATCCTACTAGTTTCTTTCTAACTGGACAATCTACCAATTCCCATGTTTTATTTCTTTGCAAGGATCTCATCTCCTCATTCATAGCATCCTTCCACTTGGAGTCAGGTAAAGCTTCCTGCACACTGTTAGGAATAGATACAGTAGATAATTGACTTATAAATACGATATTTGAGTTAGACAAATTCTGGTTACAAATATAATTACTCATAGGGTATCTTGTCTTACTGGTGAGGTCAGGATCATAAGTAGGCTTAGGGATACCTCTAGAGACACGATCTGGCAGAATTCTATTTTCTGTATTAGGTTCTTGAGGGGACGACTGGTATGGTATATCATTAGCATCAATAGGCAAACTTTCGATCTCAATATGCTCAAATTCTTCCTCATTATGTGGTTGTTGATCATTATATTGTTGCACACTTTCATCATTTCCTGATACAACTTCGTAACTTCCTTTCTTCAATCTGACCTCAATACCAATTTATTGAGAAACAAAAGTTTGAACTTTATCATAATTCTCCTTCTGAATTTCAGACTCCGGAGAAAAATATATCACGGTCTTATGAAAAATTACATCTATAGTAGTAAACATTTGCTTAGTTTGTTGATTGTAACACTGGTATCCTTTTTGGTGATCCGCATAGCCAAGGAACACACATACCTTTTAGCTCTAGGAAACAACTTTCTTCTCTAAAGCTTGTGTAAGTGAATATAAGCAAAGCAACAAAAAACTCTGTGTTAGTTAAGAAATTCTAGGACTTACTACTGCATCTATAAGTGATTGAAGAAGTATTTTATACTCAAGAGATTTGGATGGTGTTCGATTGATAGTGTATACTGCATATGTGAGAGTTTCTCCCCAATATATTGCTGGCATGTGAGCTCCAATCAGTGCAGCTCGGACCACCTCCAATAGATGACGATTCTTTTGTTCTACCACCCCATTCAGTTGTGGAATATTTGGACAAGATCTCTGATGAACAATTCCTTTGGCTACTAAAAAATATTGAAGTTTTGATTGCATATATTCTCCTCTGTTGTCACTGTGCAATATCTGAACTTGTGCTTTGTACTGGGTCTCAATCATTTTGCAGAATTTTTAAAATAGTCCTCCAACTTCACTTTTAGATTTCATCAAACATAACCAAGTTATTCGAGTACAATCATCAATAAACGTTACAAACCATGTTGAGCCACCCAATTAGATGGACTCCATACATCAGAGTGACTCTTTGCAAATATATTCTGTGACTCTTTGCAAGCTCACAAACATCACAATTCAAAGTTGAAGTGTCTACTTGGTCAAACACATTTGAAAATAATTTCTTTATGTAACCAAAAGATGCATGTCCTAGACGCTAATGTCATAACCAAATATCCTCGTCTTTTCTCACTTCTTGAGATCCTTTTGTTACTAGCACTTGACCAAGTCTCTTTGAATCTTTTTCTGTCAGGTCCAAGTAATACAGTCTTCCTCGCCTAATACCACAACCAATCGTCTTCCTCGTTTGAATATCCTTAAAATCACAAGAGTTAGGCCCAAAAATTAAAACACATAAAAGAGCTTTGGTTATTTGCAAGACTGACAATAGGTTATATTAAAAGAAGGAACAACAACAGTATCAAAGTTCAAATTATTTGAAATAGAGACAGGTCCTTCTTCAATGATAGTGGATTTACTACCATTGGTTGTGGAAATACTTTCTTGTGAGGAAGGTTTAAGATTTTTAATCTGTCTAACCTCAAAAGTCACATGATCAGAATACGCAGAGTCAATTATCCATGCATTATTCAGAACTGGAATCATCACTACCTGCGGTTGTAGCAAGCATCATAGTTGTGGAATCAAAAATCATATCTTCTGTTTTCAACGTTATTCGCCGGACTGTCTCTCTCCGGATCAATGCATAACATTCTTCTAAATCAGGTGTTACTTCTTTGAACAAGATTTCTCCACGAACTTACTCAAAATCATCATCCAGTCTAGCAATGAATATATGCACCCTCAA